TTGCTCCATTGTTAAGTGTCCAGAACTGTAGATTACTCGCTTGTTTTGCACGCTAGTCGTGCCCTGCAAACGCATTCTACATGCGTATAAGATTGTAGAAATATCAGATAATTGTATGAAATGGCTACTATATCTATTTTTACTGATGACAGATGGTGAACTTTGGTAGGACTAGTAGGGAACGAATCTATTGAGATTTACGTGAAGATTCGAAACTGCAAAAATGCGTAATAAAAAAGATATAAACAATGACTAAGCCAAGGTGTACGCTTCATTTGCGGATAAAGTTTGTTATCAGAGCCCAATTTACTCTCCTCCAAGTATAAGAGAATGGCTAGAAATAAAGGGGGATAATTTTTTATCAGTGATGGTCATATGTCGGACCGGAAGTCTTTAACTGAAAGGCGGGATTCTGCTGGCGTTTATCATGTCTCAATCTTAATTCTCAGATTTTAAATCTTTGTCTTTCCACTTTTTATGTTATTATTGTCTTCTTCTTTTTTTTTATCGAAACGTTTCCATTGAGATGGACGTGCAGCCAGGACGATAGCTCCTTTACTGATGGTTTGCCGACTGCCGGACATCGTCACCACCGCTATTGTCGTTTTCACCTCTTTCCGCGATAATTAACAGCTAATGAGCTTTTTAAGACTGCATGAATTTTGTTTTGAGTGCGTACTGGAGATCTGTGCACCATTCGACAAAGCAGGGGGGGTCGCGTAGAATTGAAGTGCTTGTGGGTGGGTTGGAACTTGAGAGTTGCGTAAGGACGCAAAGAACAAGGACTGTGAAATTGAAAGAAGGGCGAGGAGTGAGGGTCGAGTGTTTAATAGAAAAGGATGTTGTGAATGAAGTTATATTACAAGGGTGTCCATGTACTAAAAGCTATCAGATGAAGAAGATTGTGTAGCGTCACTGCTTTTTATAAAGTGCAATGTTGTAAAGATAAAAGTGGGAAGGCTGATGAAAAACGATTGAGGGAAGAAAAAAAGCTGAAGCGAAGAAGTTGAAAAGAAAGAAAACAATGTAAAATTTTTAAAAATTAGAAAACAAAGAAACGAAAAGAAAGAAAGAAAGAAAGAAAGAAAGAAAGAAAGAAAGAAAGGAAGGAAGTAAAAGTTGGGTCTGGAATAAGAAAGGAAAAAGTCTGGAAGAAGAAAGAAAGAAAGAAAGAAAGAAAGAAAGAAAGAAAGAAAGAAAGAAAGAAAGAAAAAGTTGGGTCTGGAATAAGAAAGAAAGAAAGAAAAGAAAGAAAGAAAGAAAGAAAGAAAGAAAGAAAGAAAGAAAGAAAAAGTTGGGTCTGGAATAAGAAAGGAAAAAAGCCTCAAAGAAAGAAAGAAAAAGAAAGAAAGAAAGAAAAAAGTTGGGTCTGGAATAAGAAAGGAAAAAAGCCTCAAAGAAAGAAAGAAAGGAAATGTTGGGTATGGAATAAGAAAGAAAGAAAGAAAGAAAGAAAGAAAGAAAGAAAGAAAGAAAGAAAGAAAGAAAGAAAGGAAGTAAAAGTTGGGTCTGGAATAAGAAAGGAAAAAGTCTGGAAGAAGAAAAAGAAAGAAAGAAAGAAAGAAAGAAAAGAAAGAAAGAAAGAAAGAAAAGAAAAAAGTTGGGTCTGGAATAAGAAAGGAAAAAAAGCCTCAAAAGAAAGAAAGAAAAGAAAAAAGAAAAGAAAAAAGAAAGAAAGAAAGAAAAAGTTGGGTCTGGAATAAGAAAGGAAAAAAGCCTCAAAGAAAGAAAGAAAGAAAGAAAGAAAGAAAGAAAGAAAGAAAGAAAGAAAGAAAAAGTTGGGTCTGGAATAAGAAAGGAAAAAAGCCTCAAAGAAAGAAAGAAAGAAAGAAAGGAAATGTTGGGTATGGAATAAGAAAGAAAGAAAGAAAGAAAGAAAGAAAGAAAGAAAGAAAGAAAGAAAGAAAAGGAAGTAAAAGTTGGGTCTGGAATAAGAAAGGAAAAAGTCTGGAAGAAGAAAGAAAGAAATAAAGAAAGAAAGAAAGAAAGAAAGAAAAAAGAAAAGAAAGAAAAAAGTTGGGTCTGGAATAAGAAAAAGAAAAAAGCCTCAAAGAAAGAAAGAAAAGAAAGAAAGAAAGAAAGAAAAAAAAAAAGAAAAAAAAAAAGTTGGGTCTGGAATAAGAAAGGAAAAAAGCCTCAAAGAAAGAAAGAAAGAAAGAAAGAAAGAAAGATTAAAAAAATATAAGATGAAGAATGAAACAAATGAGAATAAAAATAAGAAGGAAACGAAGAAACATAAAGAATGAAAAAACAAAGAAAGAAACGAAACAAATTAAAACGAAAAAGATAAGGAAAAGTATGAAATGAAGGAGAATTCAAATGTAACTGAAATGAAGAAAGAAAGAAAAACGAATGAATAAAAAAAAGGAAGAAGACGAAAAACAAATGGCAATGACGAGAAAAAAGAAAAAGAAGAAATCGAAGACAAAGTCGATAATGCAGCAAAGCTAATATTTAATATAGACGAGTCTGATATATTCAGAGTCGCTTAGATGTGATAGAAGGCAGGAATTATGGAGCACGCAGTGCGTCTCTCGTAATTGTTCTTCCGAAACAAACATGCTAACCATTTGCATCACATAGTTATGGAGAAAAGGCCGTCAATATAGAGCACTCACAACAGATCGAACGCACTACACAGCCGTAATCAATCGAGCGAGACAAGTTTGTTAACCATCACAACAGGTCGAATTGCCCCAAATATGACGTTGTATTCCTCCCGCGGACAATAATTTTTTTTTTTTTTTATCAATAATCAGGAATTTTGTTTTATTTGTTTACTGTTTTGGTATACTTTCTATAATTTCCTATCGAAAATGGTCGTATTTAATTGAATATTTAATCTGGTTGCAGCCCCAGAAACTCAATTTGACATTTAACATAAACGAACCGAAAACCTTAATTTTACGTTTTTCATGATAAACATTTTCACTTTTACGCTTAGCAAAATACCTTTCTTTCGGGAAAGTTTTCTAAAGTATATTTTTGTCATAAAGTTACTTTGCTCAATTAATTATTGTTTGACGACGATAAAAAAAACTGAACTATATATATACAAGGTAATTTCGTGGTCGAAAGATCAAGATCCCCTATACATGAGGAAACAAAAGATTTACCAATCACAAAATCAAAAATCGTAATTTTCACAGGATCATGTTATAAAGTCGTGCATAAGTTAGTCAAGAAATGCAATTGTAACAGTATTTTTCCAAGTATTTCCATCTTAGGAAATAAAATTCACAGTTATAGTGCATTTCTTGCCTTATTCAGCTGTAATATACGGAAAAATATTCGTGAATATGAAAGGATTGTGACCAAAATAAGCAGACATAATCTTTATAATCTATTCAATCAGACATACCTAAAAGAGAATTTGCTGCCTAAATACACACACATATACATACATATATATATATATATATATATATATATATATAGATAGATAGATAGATAGATAGATAGATAGATAGATAGATAGATAAAATGAATATTGAAGTTAACACACAGAGGCGACGGTCTCCATGCTTAAACGCCTGGCGATTGCATTTAAGTATGAAACAGCCTGTCGCATCTGGGCGTTGACTTCAATGTTCACTTTTATATTTACATACGTTCTTTCCCTAATATTGAGCATAAATATAACATACCTTAAAATTATATTTCATAATATATATATATATATGTGTGTGTGTGTCTGCGTGTGTGCGTGTGCGTGTGTGTCTGTGTGTTTGGTCAAATAATTTCGTATTATGTCTATTTATTTTAGTTTTAATCATTTCAAGTCCACGAATTAATTTCTTGGTGGCTGCAGAAAATTGATTAAGAAAATTTCCAAAATTTTCTTTCAAATAATTTTTATTTTCCCAAGTACTTTCAATCTCATCTGAAACCATCTTCAGGGATTGCATATCAATGGATGCTTTATGCGTTAACACCGTAAATTTCAAAATATTTTTTTAGCTCGAAGCAAAAGAGGTAACTGATTTTTTAAAATATTCTTGATTGTATGATTTTAATTTAATATTTTTTTATATAACGCTTTGCCTCTACAAACATTTAAGAGCTTTGTTGCTAAACACATAGTCGACTTTGTCTTGATGAAGCAATGTATTTTCGACTTCTATTTAAACTGAATGAGGACAGGAGTGTCCCTTTAAATTTTTTCAGATTGAACTATGATTGTACTCTGAATGAAAGTAGTTGGAATAATAAAAATTAATTTATGTACTTGAAAGGATTAAAACTAAAATAAATACACATAATACATCTAAATTATTTAACCAAACATATTTAAATGAATATATCCTGCCAATAATTAGATAGATATAGATATATAATTTACATTATTTCACTGCCTTAGCCGGGTATTGAACTCACACTCTTTGGATCACGTCACTGGATCTAACGAACGCCTTTATCCACTGTGCCAGGGTTCCTTGAAATTAACAGGCGATAACTGATAACTGACATTCATTAATCATGGCATGTGGAACTAGAAGAGTCTACTTCTGTGAGCGAAATAAAGGGTTCAGTTCAACATTCAAACCACCTGTAGAAGGCCGGAGCGTACAACGGCCGAAACGTTGTAATAAATATGGCGACAAAGATGAGGAAAATAGTCCGAATAATGTAAATAATGTACATAATACCTCATTTCGGAAATATAAACAGATATAGATAGATAGATAGATAGATAGATATGATATTTGTAGTGCTTGTTAATGTGTTGTTTAGCACTTTGTTCAGATAAATGGCATGTACCTTCCAAGTCATTTAGCTGAACAAAGTACTATTAAACGACATATATATATATATATATATATATATATATATATATATATATATATGTTTGAAATCTTTTGGCTCCTTGTCTTTCTCTCTCTATTTTTCCTTTCATCTGGACTCGTTCCTTGTTTTTATATAGACGTTTCTCTTTCGTATTTTTTATTTTTATTTTTCTACAAATACACATGTGATGTTTCTTTAAGGCCAGCTTAGTGATGATGGTATTTGTCTATTTGCAACCAGCGCCTAGGATCAGTGTTCAAGCCCCCGTTAAGACCTCGGATTTCAAATGTAAGCAGGCCTTTCGCACTCGTAAGATTGGTACGAGAACGTTTTTACATTACCTCTGATTAGCCTCTTTGATGGAGTCTGTCTGGTTAGAGTAAATCTCTCGCTCTCTCTTTATTAATTCATCTTCTCTCTCTCTCTCTCTCTCTCTCTCTCTCTCTCTCTCTCTCTCTCTCTTCGACTCACTCCCACATTATCCTACATCCTTTCTTGCTTTCTATCTTCCTACTCAAATTATCTCTCTTAATCTACCGGAAACTCTTTCTTTTTGCAAACCATCTTTTTCTACCCAAACTCTCTCCCTCCCTCTCTCACTCTCTATTTCTCTCTTTCTCTCTCTCTCTCTGTCTCTCTCTATGTATACAATTTCCTCTCTCTCACAATTTTTCATTTTTATTTTGTCTTTTCCAATCTTTCTCTCGCTTTCTCAATCTTTCTCTCTTTCTCTCCTTTCTCTCTCTCTCTCTCTCTCTCTCTTACACACACACACACACACACACTCACTCCTTGTTCATTTTTCACAGTATTTATTAATTTATCCAGCCAAAATTTTTCTGTCACTCCTAAAATCGCTCATAGCCACTGCTTTTCTTTCTTTCTTTCTTTCTTTCTTTCTTTCTTTCTTTCTTTCTTTCTAACCAGATTCTCTCTCAATCTCTCAGAATCTCTCTCTTTTCTGACCCTCTTTTCCTTCTCAAACCCTCTCTCTCTTTCTTTCTCGCCCTCTTTTTCTCTCCCTTTCCCTCTCTCTCTTTCTCTTTCTTCCTTACACACCCCTTTCTCGCTCTCTTTCTTTCTTTCTACCCAGATTCTCTCTCACTCTCTCAATCTCTCGGAATCTCTTTACCCACCCTCTTTTCCTACTCAAAACCTCTTTCTCTCTCTCTTCCTCTCTACCTCTCTTCCTCTCTTCTTCCCCCTCACATCATTAGAAACTTCTTTTGATCTCTGTTCTTCTCATTTCCCACATCTCCTCCGACTTACACCGACCTCCGCCTGGTTGTAAGTTGGTGACCAACTCCGACGCAAATATGGCCAAATGAGATACGCCTTACAAAAATAAAACGGTAAATCAACTAAACAAAGCGAAATTTTTCCTAAGATCAGAATCAGTTGGTAACCGGAAATTAGCGCGAAATTTAATTCCTATAAAAAGATCAAAAATACGACAAACGATCTCTTCATTCAGATTTTCTCGTGTTATTTACTTTCTAGTACTACTACTACTACTACTATTATTATTATTATTATTGTATCTGTTGTATATTCATTTTCTTCCGGGTCCCAACCAGAGACATAAGGTCAGAAACGGCTTCATGACATTTTCCACTATCATTTTTATCATTAAGAGAGAAAAAAAAAAATTAAACACATTTTACATAGATAACGCTTTTTATAATGTGTGAGCTGTACTTGTGAGCACAATTTTTTTGTATTTCCTTAAGGCACAGGCTACCAGGGGATCTCTTCAATGAGTCTATCGGATTTTTTTTTCCAATGAAGCCGAGGGCTCCAACTATAATTGGAATTATTGATCTCATCATGTGTCACATTTTTTAGATTTCAACTTCAAGATTATTATTATTATTATTATTATTATTATTAAGAGAGCAGCATGCCAACAAAGCGACGCTGAGGTGAAAAATATGCGACGCTCAATATTCCAATCGTGACATCCAGCCTGTATAGCAGGAACATGCACCACAGCCAAGTGTGCGCGATATGATGGCAGGTTTTGATAAAAGCAACACATAAACTTTCAGATGAGGCCAAGTTAGAAATATCTTCAACCCAGGCTGCTCAGAATGTGTCTCCGATTAAAAGGTGTTCCCGAGTGTTTAGATTTGACACTCAAGTCACCTTGACTGTCTTACACTCAAACTTAAACAACCACTGTTTTGACACCAGTCACTCTTTTGACACTAATCATGAACAAAGATGCCCAGCGGGTCAGCTACTTGGGGAGATACCCAACTGGTTATGCTCAAGCAAGTGAAATGCAATTATTATTACTATTTATTTCCTTTGATTTCTGACGTTTACACATTTCTTTCCGGGTCCTAAGTTTAGAAATGGCATCATGACACTTTCCACTGACAAAAAAAAAATTATAATAGATAAAGCCCTTCGTAAAGTGTGGGCTGTACTTGTGAGGACAATTTTTTGTATTTCTTTGAGGCATAGACTTCCAGGAATCCCTTCGATTAGTCTACTGGAATCTTTTCCAACCAGTCCTAGGGCTACAACTACAACAGGGATTGTTGATGTTCCCATGTGCCACATTTTTGAGATTTCTATTTAAAGGTCCTTGTATTTTGACAGCTTTTTGAATATCTTCAAAAATACATTGCAGTCAGCACGGACTGCCATATCAATAACAAGGCACTTTTTTTGTTTGTGGTCTCTAATAACAATGTCTGCGCGGTTGGCTTTGATTGTTCTGTCAGTGTGTATTGTGGAGTCTCATAGAATTGTAACAGGTCCTATCTCCGTAACCGGGTCTGTGTAGTGTTCATACCAGTTTCTTTCCCGTAGAAGTTCCAGATTTTCCAGTGCAAATATTGACCCACTCTGTCATGCCGGGTTTTATACTCAGTGGGTGCCAATATTGTGCAACCTGATACAAGATGATCAATTGTTTCTGGATATTTATCACAGAATCTGCATTTTGAGTTAACACAATATTTTATTATTATTATTATTATTATTATTATTATTATTATTATTCTCCTGTTTCTTCCTACCCGTCGTAACTGGTGGCTTATACTCGCGATAAAATGACATTTTTTACAATTCATCAGCACTCTCTTCATAGATGTTTTCAAAAATGCCGTCATCTGAATGGTTGCGAACCTTTTCATAATTTTAAGTCTTTATATTCCGTAACCTGACTGTGACCGTTTTAGTGCTCCGATAACTACTAGCACGACTGCCTGTAGTTATCGGAGCACAATCTGTATTTTCATTAAGATAAGCAGACCAAAAATTTAAGAAGATACGTCGTCCCGCACTTTATTCACCAACAGTATGTGTGTTTGCGACAAAATTCAAGAGAATTCATTTATGTTATCTAACGTTTAAGATGAGGCCCAATTTGGTTTTCAGTCAAAAGCGTGCTGACCATTTTTATATTTAATGAGCTAAGATTATCAAATTTGCATAATTTTGCGTTTGTTCCTGAAAAGCCATTTTTAGTTGATGCCAACTGTTCATACTTTTCATTAATCCCAGGGATTTATAAATTACAAAATTTAGCCACATTTCCTCTCTGGAATGTTGATAGATTAGTATTAAAACCTCTTCCTATGACGCAATGGTTAAATAGATAATCTCATTAACCATTAATACTGACTTCAATGCTTACTGTGTGCTCAATAATTGCTTCCTTTTGCCAGACTAACCTGAGTTGGAATTCTTAGTATATGTGTTATGTACTATCACGCGGTTGTAATGAGGATATTATATTATATTATATTAAGATAAAGAACAAATACGAAACTTTTATCAATCTAACATGTTTCACTTTTATTAGAGCTTCATCACAGAATGAGATATGGAAAAAAAGAAGAAAGAAATTCTGGTATTTTTACTTTTGTGTTGTTTGATTTTCATTGGTCAATCAGATTTCATTTGCATTCGACTTGTTTAACAAATGTGCAATTTATGGTGTTCCGAATTCAAGTAGATACAACGTGTCCATTCGAGAAATTAAGTAAAAAAACGTAAATTGTGCTTTATGTATGTAAGTGTATATAATAATTTTAGTTTGTCCATGTGGAATTTATATGATAATGTGTACTCGTACGTAAATGTATGCGCGTGTGCGTATGTGGAAGACATCATTTTTATTTCGGTTTTTCGTATGTTGATTTGTTAGTGTGTTTACGTATACACTGTTTGTTTTAGATAAACAAGTTAGATTCTTTAAGAATGGATTCAAAAGATTGGTGATGTAATATAATGTTTTTGATGTATCCTTATAGTTGGTAATATATTTATTAGTAATCCTTCGAAATACTTTAGACGTAATTCATTTTTTTTTAATTAAGGCATTTTTAGAATCAAAGTTATGGCCAGTTTTGTTCCTCTATATTACAAGCGAGTTTGAATGTTTGTCTAAACGTAAATCTCTTTTATGTTCGTACATATGGATGTTTAGATTCCGTGACGTCTCTCCGATATAAGTGTTTTTACATTGTAAGAAATTTATTAAATAAGTAACGGTATCTGAATTGGTGTTGGATTTATTTTTCTTCCTAATTATATCTTCGATTGTTTCGGGCGTTGTGGTAAAGCTCCTAGTATTAGGGACGACTATTTTTTTTTAGAAAGAGTGTTAGAGGGTAGGATTATTAATTTTGTGTTATTGTTAGAAATGTTATTGGTGGTGTCATTTTTGTGATTTGTGGATTTTGTAAGCTCGTTTTGTAGCGTTGAGGATGAAATGATGTGGGTAGTGAAGAAGTCTAAATGCATTTCAATTCTTCACCTAGGTATTGTGGGCTACAAGGTAGAATCCTATGACTAATTCTGATTTTATTTTTTGATTGTGGTTGGAATGGAAATTAATTAGATCATTTTTGTTAGTAAATTTACGATAAAAACTAAAATCTAATTTGTCATTGTTACATATTAATAAGATGTCGAGGAAAGGTAGAAATTTATTTAAAATTCATGTGTGAATTCGATTGTAGGTTCAATCTTATGAAATTTCTTTATAATGTCTAATAATATTATATTATAACGATATAATAAAAGAATGTCATCTATGTATCTTAAGTGGAATTATTATATTATTCTGTCAAACAAAGAAATTAAACTATTTTATTAACTTTTAACTCAAAAAATCCGCATGTAAAATTTTCCTTTTAATGATTCGGTTATGACTGAATTTTAGGTTTCATATATAAACACATAAAAAGATTAAAAAAAAAAAAGAAAAACCATTAATATATTAGATTATTAAAGTCGCGCATGCGTGTATGGTTTCTGTATGTGTGTACGTACGCGCATGCGCAACTATGACTGCAGACGAAAGGAAGTTGTGTTGCATTGTTAAACAAAAGAAAAATAAAATAAATACGACGCGGAAAATAAATGAACAAAAAATATAAATCAGGAATAAATAGCGGAAACTTCCTTTTTCCGATTGAACCCATGTCTTCTGGCTTTGCTTCTTTATCCGGCATTAATTGTATGTTGCTTGCTTTGCTTCCAGAAACTGACGCAACGAGCCCTGGTGATGATGGGAAAATAAATAAATAAATAAAATCTACTGTAGCAAATATAAAGAGTGGCCTGGGGAAGAGGAAAATGAACAGAAAGATGTAGAAAGGAAGATATTGGGAGTAAGGTTGAAAACTGAGAGAAGGATATTATATCATAAGCTCTATAGAAGAAAAAGGGGACAAAAGAAGAAGGAAGATAAATTATACAAAAGATGTGGGGAAGTAAAAAGATGGACATCTATAAAGAGAAAGAATGAGAAATAAGAAGAGAGAGTTAAGACTATTAGAGAGGCCGCTCCCGGTCAATGGTATAATAGCTAGCTATTAAAAAAAATAATAACGGTTAACTGAGTTTTCGAAGAGGCGTGGCCTAAAGGTGACGTTTGCGAAAAAACCAATCAGAAATGAGGATAGAGGTCACATGATCAGATGCCGATGGCAGCAGCAGCAGTTTTCTGGGACGTCAGCGGCTTCCTGAGAGTGAAGAGAGAACGCCTTTCAAAAAAATCCGTTTTTTTTTTTTTCTACATATTCTTTTATTATTTTTTTTTCCTTTTTTTTATTATTCTTTCACACGTCATATTCGGAATACGATCCATTTCAAGTCCGTGATAATATTGCTAGGTTTTTAAAAACCGCCACTTAAAAAAAGTGAAAAAAATTCTAGTGAATAAATTAGACTGTAGAGAAGTATATATGTATATACCAGTCGTTTTTGTAATAAAATTAGTATTGACTAACCGATATTGATAATATTTTCAGGATGCTTATATA